ACCTCTGTCTCTCCCTCCCCCCCCCACTTCCTCTTTCCTCCTCTTCCTCCTTCTTGAAGAGGGAGTGTAGTAGATACCACTGTAACAGATTGTAGATGACAGTTTGGTATTTTTTTTGCGATTTTTAAACTGTTTGAAAAACTGCTTTTGTAAAATCTCACTTTAAATTTTAGCTTCCTTTTTTATTTAAAAATAAAGACCTCAAAACTGTTTTTGTCATGAAAAATTCCTATTCCTTTTACTAACTTGTTTAGAAAAGACTTCATTAAATTTCTCTGTAATTATTTAAACATAGATGCATACCTTGTTGTTGTTGCCAAAAAAGGATATCAAGTCACTCCTTGCCTGTAATTAATTTGCTACTTTGTATTAAATTGTCTTTGCAGATTCATTTTTCCTTAACAACTCAGGACATTTTTTATAATTGAAAAAGTATTTTATATAATTGGGAGAGTAAGAAGAAACCATAACATTATCGCTTTCTGTAAGATGCTCCACAGTAGTGAAAACAGACTGATAAAAGGGCTAAGAAAAGCCTTTACTCTGTTGAGAAAAGCACTGCCATATATATTTGAGCCTTTGTGAAATTTGCATACTGCTTTGCCTGTACACACATACAGTTTCTTTGGTGACTTCTGTATTTGGTTTTAATTTTTGAGTAAATGAGGTTTTTTTAAAAGGTGGATTTATGTTATATTGGCTTATTGTCTATTTAAAAGAAACCACTACTGTCTACTGAAAAAAAACACTATTTTGTTTCCACAGAAACCTGCTAATATTTTAGTTATGGGTGAAGGTCCTGAGCGAGGAAGAGTAAAAATTGGTATGTTATATCTTTGATAAGTCACAGTGTAGCACTCTTTTTAAAACTTTTGCAGGCAGCTATGTCACTTCTCATTTTTGCTGTAATAATATGCATATATTCACATAGCTCCATCTGATCGAAGCCATTTCTAAAGAGTGTACATGAAAGTGAAAATGTTTCACACTTCTGAAAGGTGTCAGACAATTTTTAGAGGCTGAGGTGTTCTAATTATGAAACAAGCTGTGCGAGTTTCCTAGAAACTTCTGTCTTCATTAAAAATAGCCTATAGAGGTGAGTGGCTTCTATCCCTGTTAGAGGCCAGCCTCACCTTTAGTCACAAGGGCATACAGCACACTAATAATTCTATCATCAGTCCTGTCCAGCTGAGCCAGATGATGAGAACATATGCCTCTTTTGACCTCATTTAGATTAGGAGTTACAACCTCTAGGGAAAACAATGAGGCCAGATAGGTACAGAACCTTAAGTTCTAATGAGACTGTCTTGTAGTACTCCTTTGCCTAATGGGAAAACAGTTAAAGGTATTGCTCTATTTTCTCTTATATCCAAGCAAAAGTTTACCCATTTCTGGTCTGATAATCTGTAAGGATAGAGCTAAATTTATTTATCCTAACTGGTTATTTTTTTCATTGTCATTTCCAAGTCGTGTTTGTCACATATTTTTAGTTTGTTTTGTGTGTAGGTAGAAGAAATGTTGTAACTAAATTATATTAATTTAAAGGCAGCAGCAGGATTGTGGAAGTATATAACCAAGTTAACAGTAATTTCTGATTGCAAGATTTAATATGAATTAGAAGTATCAGCTGATTTGTAGTGCTTCACCAACAAAGAAAAACTTGGGTATTCTTAGCCCTTCTTCCCTATCCTCCCTTATAAATCCCCCAAATCTCACTTTCCACTTTTAATTAGACTCTTGCAATACTCTTTTATGATATAAACTTTGCAAATATCTAGTTGTGAGAACATTTAATGCACCTCAGTGTACTCCCAGCCATTGGCTTTCTTTGAGAACTAGGCCCTGTCAGTACTCATTCTTGTGCCATCAGATAAATACCTGTTAAGCCTTTCCATGTGCTTTTAAAGAAGTCTGTTCAATCTCATTTGGTGGCATCAAATTCAAATGCAAGTTCAAACATGCAAAATGGAAAAGACCTAGCCAAACAATAGTTGCAAATGTATTCTTTACTATGTGATTTTGGGAAAATTTGTATAATTCATTAAAATCTAGTTTGAAATTATACTTCTATGTAATGTATGATGTTGGCAGGTTTGGGTGACACTATGTCTTAAAGCAGTCACATTTAGGAAATATTAGTTCTTCTTCAAATCAGTATTTAGTAATCTGACTCATGGTTTTAAATCTCTGCCAAATTTTGTTGGTTTTTTTTTTTAACCTCTGTTATTAAGTTGATTAAGTAGAGATGCCTCATTAAAAAATGTATTAAGAGAGTAGAACTAAACTTATCAAATAGTGGGTGAATTTTGAAGTTTTGAATAGATGGTATGATTAGAGACCATTCAGCATGTGTTAAACAAAAGCTATATGTAATGACACTGTACAGGATGAAAAAGCTACAATTTTTGCCTTTAAGAAGGTTACAGTTCAGTAAGATAAACAGCCATGCCCAAATATCTACATTACATGTTAAACTGTGTTACATGCCATGAATTGTATATAAGCTCAGTTCCAGCTCTGAGGTATGAGTTTATGACCTTTGTTAGATCATTGAACTTCTGAGCCTCAGTTTCCTCATTTGGAAAGGGAGGTAATTGAATTAAATGTCCTTTAAAAAGTCTTTTCCAGCTTAAAAATTACTATGATTTTTTAAAATTAAGTTAGTGAAATTCAGCCCAAATAAATGGGGGAAATAGTGGTGTTAAAATACTGTATAGTGAACCTCTGATTAACTACACGAGTGAACAGGTTTTTTGATGCAAATAATGGAAAGTCTTATTCTAACTGATCCAGTTTCTTGGTGCTTGTGACCAGTACAAAGAATGGAAATGCAGCTCAAACAACCCTGTCCCCAATGGTGGTGTGACAGATGGAAAGAAATCTTCTCAGAAGAGTAAGGTCCCCCTTGACCTCAGGCAGCAGAACTTGTCTATAACCCAGTTGAAGAGCTGGATGACCATAGTTCAAAGGGAATGAAAATGTCACATTTGTTTTATATTTAGACTTGTAAAATGGGTAAGATGTTTTCTGAGTTCCCCCCCGCCCAGAATTCAACACGGTTTTTTTTATATCTTATTAAATAACAGTAGTAAAATTAGAATAATCAAGGTAGACTTATATCTGTTTACTTAACATTATTTATTTATTTTTATTTTACAGCTGATATGGGCTTTGCCCGATTATTTAATTCACCTTTGAAGCCTTTAGCAGATTTGGATCCAGTGGTTGTAACATTCTGGTACCGAGCCCCGGAGCTACTTCTTGGAGCAAGACATTATACCAAAGCTATTGGTGAGTAGAACTCATTAAAATTCCATGACTTTTTAAAAGTTTCTGTGAAAGATACATACATAAATTTTTAAATTAAGTAATACATATATTTTTAAATTAAATGATATAGCAAATTTTAAAAGTAAGAGCAAAAACTAATCCAAAATTCCACTACCTAGAAATGCTATCATTAACATTTGGGGTATATCATTCCATACATCTCTTTCTGCCAGATATTCAGAAATTTCTTAAATAAATGGGATTGTACTGTGTAGTCTATTTTAAGTAAAAGTTTTACATTTAATTTTACTTGAAAAGAGAAATGAAAGTAAAATTTTAAAATTCTTGAACTTCAAACAAATGTTTCTTTTACCAAAAGAAATATTAGCTTCTAAAAGATCTCCCTAAAATTAAAAGGAAAAAGATTATGAAAAAATATTTAGGATGTTAGGACATTTTAATCCACTTTTCCGTTTTTGATAGTATTGATTACCTTCTTATTATGAAGAATTAGGAATTTAGTGCTCTTATACTCCTTACTCCATCAGCCTCTCAATTTATAAGGTGTATTAGTAATATCATAATCGTAACTATAACTTTGTCAGTGTTTACATTTTCCTCTGTTTGCTAATTATACCCACAGTTGTTTATACTTAGGTTATGTATTGTAATGAATTTAATGTTCAACTGCTATTGTTCTTATACCATAGCTTTTTTATTCTCCATTTTATGTGCTTGAATTTTATCAAGTAGTTTTTTCTTATGTGCTTCTTTACCTTTCTTTTTTCCTTTATTGTGTGTCTTTATTGCCTCCTTAACTTGCTCTATATTCTACAGAGTGGTAGTAAACTCACTTTTCTTTTACTGGATAATTCCATCCTAGAGTCTTCTATTCTGAATTGGTTGGTCTCCAAACTCTCTATACAGTTTTGTCCTGGCTTTTCTCTTGTTTATTCCTCTGGATTGAATCTATTGCTTTCTGGATCCCATGATCTCATCCCTTATTCTTCTACAGGATATTTTCATGTAGCTTCCTTTGGAAGGTATCTTGGGGTAAATTTTCTAGTTCTTGTATTTCTGAAAAATGCCTTTATCATACTTGATATTTTGGCAGGGCTTAAAATTCTAGGCACAAAATAATTTTCCCTTAGAACTTTGATGATTCTCCTCCATTGTTTTCTAGCAATCAGTGTTGCTAATGAAGTCTCATGCCAATCTTGCTGTTAGTCATTGGTGGATCACCTGGGGTTTTTTCTTTCTGGAAATAAATAGGATTTCTCATCTTACATTTCACAGTGATATTCTGGCCACTTGGTGGGCACATTCTATCTGAAGTTCATATCTTGTATTTGGAAAATTCTCTCATATAGTCCTTTAATTCCCTCCTCAGTGTTTTCTATTTCTCTTTCTCAGTGTAGTCAGATGTTGGGCTTCTTGGATTGATCCTTTATACCATTTTTCTTCTCATATTTTTGTCTTTGTCTTTATTTCCGTGAACTATTTCTTATTTCTGACTGCTACTTTTTCATGGCATCTTGTTTTATGGAAAGAAAAGCTCCTCAAATATCTGCGAGTATAGTAATAACAGTGCTTGTTTGTTTTTTGGTTGGTTGGTAATTTGCAGTATTCTTAGAATAATTATCTGTGCTTTCTTCATAGGCATTCTTTTCATTTATATGTCTTGATATCTCTCCTCTCCAAGCATTCTTCAACTGTTTGGTGACCCTTGATTGTCTCTTCATATTTAAGAATCAAGTTACAAAAAGCCACTTGGGGACTTGTATACGTGTCATGACTTGTATACTTGTATCATGAGGTTCATAGACTAGTGACTTTAGGGTGTTCCAGCAGAGAGCCACCATTACCTGGGGAAACCCTGAATGCCAGAACACACGAGTCTTTGCTCTGAGGCCATTCAGAGTCTTCAGGGAAGAATCCTCCAACTTTTGGCCCACGCTTCATGTACCTGGAAGCTCCAGGGCAATGATGAAGAGTGGGGAGGAGGATCAGCTGTTCAAAATACAGACTTTGTAGCTGGTATTTGCAAGTACAGCATCTTCCCAGAGTTGTGTAAGACAAATCTGTTTCCTACTCAACAAGAATGCTGTGGACTGAGGCCTTCTGTGAACTGTTTATCTGCCTTCTATCTTCCAGAATGTTTTTATATATCTCTGCCTAAAACAGGTCTTCACATGGCCAGTTTCTTCTTTTCATTCAGACCTTAGTGAGAATGCTGCCCTTCAGAGAGAACTTCCTTGATCACACAGTCTAAAATAGCACCCTGCCTCCCCATCACACTTTGACCTTATTGTTTTAATTGCCTAGAACAGTATTCAAAACCTGCTAAAACAGACAGACCTCACCTCACCGTTGTGAACCAGTGTCTACATCATACATAGTGAGAACTCAGTTCTCTTTGTTGAATAAATCTGTGAATCTATGAAAATCTACTGTTTTTTGTTACTGTGGATTTATGCTTTTATTACTTTGCTGTCATTTTAACGTAGACTCGAGAAGGAAAAAGGAGAAATGCTCGTAATCATTCTCCCATATTAATCTTGAATCCAGCATGTCTTTTTCAAAAATCTTTATGTTCACTAATCCTCATACAAAGCATTGAAATCACATTTTATTTTATAGAAAAATAAACGTAAATAAAAAAAGTCAGACATAAGAATTTTCTGTATTACCTTTGCAAATTTTCTGTAAATCTGGACTTATTCCGAAGTAGAATATTTATTTTTTTAAAAATCAATTAGAAGGAAAAGTAAAAATTATTTAAGCTATTCCTGTTTTTGAATATGATATTACCTAAACACACATTTAGATATCTTTTTTGCAAGTGTACTCTAAATGCATTTAAGAAGTTTATATAAACTAATACAATACATATCTATTTTCTTGCACCTAGAAAATGAATATTTAAAAGTATTGTCACTTTTGGTAAGATATAGTAACAGACTATATACAAAGAAGGAAATATTTACCTAGTCTTAACTCCTATTAACTGAACACCTGAGACTTCTGATTTAAATTGAGTAAAAAATACACTATCACAGAAGCTTGTGTGTCTGGCTCATTATTTATTATTCTCTTGTTTTTCCTAAGAAAGTTATATTTTGTTGGGAACACTAAGAAGATTTGTATAACCTGTTATTCACTAGGACATTCTATAGTCCAGCAGTTTCAATGCAGGCTGTGTGCCACAAAGCTAAACTACCAGCAATTAGAGGGGTAGAGTTATTCCAATGGCTGTATAATTTGTGAGAGATAAGGCCTTTCTTCATGTTTTTCTCCCTCTTCCTCCTCCTCATCAACATCAAAATTAATTGGGTAACTACTGTGTAAACTTTTTGAAACTTAGGAGAAACCGATATGAATGCAAATTATGGGCCTTACCCTTAAGAGGTTTATAATCCAGTTGAGAAGACCATATGAACATATGTATAAAATAATTTTGTCCTCTTTGAACAATGGAAGTAACAAAGATACCAGTGTGAATCGTAGTCTTAGCTCTGTCACTCTTGGGGGTTGGGGAAGGGTGTTTATGCGAGGCATTAGTCCTTGAGTCTCATTTTCTGAAAACTAGAATTTAGCCTGAGTCATTTCTTAGATCTCCTTAAACTCTAAAAGTTCTATGGCTTTATGTAAAAACAACCTCCTTCTGAGTTAAGGAGGTCACAGAGGGAACCAATTTGGGTACAGATGATTGAAACCAAGGTCAGTGCCATTTCCTCAGCAGTGGTGATCCTCAGCCCTGCCCACTCTCCACTGTCCAGTGCCTACCTGACTTGGCCAAGATCAATATTGGAGAACACTTTTCTTCTATTAAAATATTGACTCAACAAGTTATAATGTAGATATCTTACTAATTGCTTTTTTGTTTGAGAGAGAGAGAAATTGTACACAAACCATTTTTAATATGTTTTAAGAAATAAGAATAAGGAAGTATAAAATGAAATTTCTTCCCCTAGTCCAGTCTCCAACACACAGTCCCATTCCTCTTACTACCTTCGTTGGTAGCTTAAAGGTTCAGTGAGATACTCAACAAATTCCCCACACCACTGTTAAAGCTACTTACCAAGAACTTTCCTAGCATTTTGACTTGCCTGTGTGATAGTTGTAGTGTGAGCAGCTGACAGAAGAACCTGTGTAGTTGAACATACATATAATTTGCTGTATATATTCATACGTTCATTTTAACAGCATCATTTAGAAGAGTTACATTTGTTAGTGGAATTTGGTGGATTACGTTAAACTGAAGGCTACTAAGAAGGAGTAAAGAACATTAGGGAAAAATCTGGTTTGAACATATCAAATTAACACATTTCCACCCTCTACTACAAAGGGGTTTTAGTGTGGTGGTCATTTGTCCAGTAGGACAGAACTGCAAGCTGAATCATTACAACATCATTACAATAAAGGGGAAATAATAAACATTATAATCTTGGGGACGAAGTTTAATTCAGTTTTGAGTATTTTATTTTTTATTTTTGTTTGACTTTGGGGAGAAGACTGAAAGAGGGGTAACAATGACTAATTGTCACTAAAGCAGTCTTAAAAGTTTAAAGTATGGACTTTTAAACTCGGGTGTTTGTCTTCAGCTGAATGTCCACTGAATGTGTGGCATTCTGCTAAGTGGGAAAAATATAATAAATAAAATGAGAACGTACTCCTGTTTATCAAGATAGAAACTTGCTATTGGTACACCTATTAATTAAAATATAATTGAACAAAATCTCCCTCCCACTAAATTTGAGTATATGTAGTGTTCCAGTACTATCTGCTTTGCCTACTTAGCTCAATAACTACATGTGAGCATCACAGATTTTGAGAAGTAGGTGGGGTTTATATGGTTTTTTTTTTTTTTTTTTTTTTTAAAAAGATGACCGGTAAGGGGATCTCAACCCTTGGCTTCGTGCTGTCAGCACCACGCTCAGCCAGTGAGCAAACCGGCCATCCCTATATAGGATCCGAACCCACGGCCTTAGTGTTATCAGCACCGCACTCTACCGAGTGAGCCACGGGCCGGCCCTATATGGTTTTTATTTGGAAAGTCTTTTGGAAGGAGTTAGGCAGGTGGGTAAGCAGGAAACACTTCTCCATGAATTTGGCACAATCTGAAAAAAATAGGCAAGTTAGAAAGTCGCACTCTACCGAGTGAGCCACGGGCCGGCCCTATATGGTTTTTATTTGGAAAGTCTTTTGGAAGGAGTTAGGCAGGTGGATAAGCAGGAAACACTTCTCCATGAATTTGGCACAATCTGAAAAAAATAGGCAAGTTAGAAAGAAGTGACTTATTTGCAAAGAATTAAAAATTTGTCTGAAATAATAGCCTGATCAGCTGACTCAAAGTTTATGATTAATGTGCGGATCAGGATTTCAAAGAAAGGAAGAATGGTGAAATTGATAAAGGTGAGAGATAGTAGAAGATATAAAGAAAGAGGGTTGTAGGGTGGGGTTAAAGCAAGATTCAATAAACTATTTTTTCTTACTTACCTGACTTTTTATTTTAAAAGCAAAGTAGCTTTAATGATAGCTAAACTACTTAACTTTCATCTTTCTTTACATATTTTGTTTTCTTCTTTGAAATTTTCGATAGCTAATCAGATGAATTGTTAGTTTCTCTTGGAGATGCTCTAAGTAGAGTTTTAAATATGCAAAATGAGCCATCGTCCCTTTTGGTGATCCTACTTAGCTTGCCTATCTGGCCATTGATAAAGATGATCAAAGGTCAGATTTACAGGGGATACCCATGTAAAAAGAATAATCACATAATCATTAATTTTTCTATTTACCTTCTTTTTTTTTTTTCCTTTTTGTCTTTTTTCGTGACCGGTAACGGGATCACAACCCTCAGTGCCGTGCCCGTACCGCGACCGGCAACGGGATCGCAACCCTCGGTGTTGCGCCCGCACTGTGCTCAACCAGTGAGCGGACCGGTCTCTATATGGGATCCGAATCCTCGGCGGGAGCGCCGTCGCGCTCCCAAGTGCCGCACTCTACCAAGTGCGCCACCGGGCCGGCCCTCTATTTACCTTCTGATGCTGAAAACAAAATAGCTTGGCCTGTATTTCCGTACAGTGGTATTGGCTAGACGTGGTTCTCTGATATGCAAATATGATGTCATTTTTTAAACACGTGCTCGTGAATCTTGAAGTAAATAGATAATTAACTTGTTACTCTGAAATGTAAATGTGATAATTTTACATTAAATTAAATGTATACATTCCAGTTTTGGAGTTTAGGAATTCTCCTTGATAAATAACATTTTTTTTCTCATATGCTGTTTGAGTGGCAGTTATTAACATACCTGAACAATCAGCTTTAATAAAATAGTGATTTTTATTTGTCCTCGGATATATATATATTTGTCACAGGTATTTGTTGGATCAGTCAAAAATCACTTATGAGTGTCTGTTGTGTGCACACCATTGTACTTAGTGTAGGGAAATTAACATTGTTATTTTAGGGATTTATTAAGAGTAAATATGGAGTATTTTCAGCTTTAAATTCTAAATTGGCATATAGGTCTTGCCTCTTCTAAGAGTCCTATTGAGTACAAATTTAATATGAATGAAAGTAAACCTGTGTCTTGTAAATGCAGGAAATTTACTTTGTTGTATACAGAGAAATACATTTGCCTGGCTTTTTAAATAAGTACTGTGAATTTATAGCCTATTTTAAAGGTGATATTTTGCTCCCTATTTTCTTGTCCTTCTTATTAAATACTTAAATTTGCAAAATTTGACACTGTTATAGCATAGGGCTATAGGGTGTATATTTGCAGAACTACTAACGTCAGAACCAATATTTCACTGTCGACAAGAGGACATCAAAACTAGTAATCCTTATCACCATGACCAGCTGGACAGAATATTCAATGTAATGGGATTTCCTGCAGGTACACATTATGTTTTTGTTTTTGTTTTTAAATCACTGTTGTTTGAACTTTAAATATATCTTCATTGGAGAGGGGTATATTTTCAGCCGATGAAAGCTACTCTTACTCTTACTTGATTCTTTGTTTTTATGACTTCCATTTATCAAAGATCTGTAGAAGTAGTCAGCAAAATTTGTAGAGTTCACATATTAGTATGAAAATATTTATGGGTTTCCTGAATTTGAGGTGTGTATTTTTTTTTCATTTTGTTTTGCTTTTTTGTTTTGTTGTTTGATGTTTGAAATGATAAAATATTTGCAATATCTGTATTAAAAAGGTGCCATTAGTTCTTACCAGTAGAAACAACAAATAAAATTCAGTAATAGGAATTTTTTTTCTGGCAGCACATGTAATACTGCCATTACCTGATATTTGAGTATAAATTTTGAACATTATTTAGGGTACTGTGCAGAATCACATTATATTGAATAATAACATTTTTGCTCTATAACCCTTGTCAATAAGGACAGTCTTTTAAAAAAGTGTTCTGTTAAAACAGTCAGAATGTGGGTGAAAGTATAGTATTCCACAACAAGCCGGCCCACTGTTTTGCATCAGGGAGACAGTTTATAGGTGTCACATCACTGATGTTACATCTCTCCAGCTATGTCCCAATCTGTAATTATTACCACAGAATGATAGTTCATCGGTCGCCAAAATTGCCCAGAGGTCCAGAATAATGGGTCTGTGAATCAGAGAATTTGTTTAAAACACCTAAATAATTTTGGTTAGTCAAGTGCTTAATAGAAATTATTTTTCATTAGGAATATTTCTCTGGTCACTGTAACTCAAGACTAATACAGAAATATCTGGGAGTTTGAATTCTGCATTCTGAATACCTGCCATGTGCCAGGAACTGTTCTAACTAAAAAATATTGATGATATATACGAGACATGATTGTTGCCCTCTTGGAGTTTACACTGTACATGTGTAGAATGTTTAAAAAATAGGTAGAATGTTTTAAAAATAGGTATGGTTTGAGTAGATAGAGAGGATTGGACTTTTCTTGCCACTTCTGATGCCCACAGGGAAGGGAACATGACTTATGAGGAGTGGGAGTGGTGAGGACCTCTATCAAAGATGACTCTATCAAAGATGATTCTTGACGTGTAGTTAAGTTAGTGTAGGGCCAGTTTATAAGGAACCTTGAAAAGCAGGCAGTGGAGTTCAAATTTGATATGCTAAAGAATGAGAATCCATGATAAGTACTAGAGACATGATTTGTGTTAATTTTAGAAAGAATAGTATGACGGTGGTAGATAAAAATCAATTAAGGAGCGGTAACTGAAGTCAGGGAAACCAGCCACTTGCTATAGCAGTACTGCAGGCATAAAGTGATAATAATAATGATGGCGAATAAAGGTCAAACATGAAACTTTTGTAGGAAGTGTATAACAGAGAAGACTAAAAGATTATCTCAGGATTCCTAGCTTGAGAAGGTGACAAAAATTTAGGAGTGTAAGTATACATTCAGTTTACAATATGTAAAGTCTGTGGAGGATAGGATGCACATGTTATTACAAGTAAGTTCAAAGAAGCAAACCTCTGAAGGCCATTTAAAAGCTAACGGTGCTGTTAAGCTACCTGTCACAGTGTTGTGCAGCTAGTATACTCTCAGTAAAAGCCCATCAATAGTGATGGAGAAAACAAGTTATCTAGCAAATATTGTTTGAGCAACCAGTATGCCTGCAAAACTAACATACATTTTGTACTTAACATATTTAGTAGCTGGGGTTGTTTTGGTTAATGTTGTTGAAACTAGCCAAGGTACCAGACTTATTAATACACTAGTTAGATCCCACCCTATTCTACTGCAGACAGTTATTACTGCTTACTTTGATTGCTCATGTAAAGAAATGTATTGAATAAGGTAGGAGGGCCGTATTGTAAAAAAAAGTATATCTTAATGCCATTGAGGGGAAAGACCTTATATTTCTCATTGAAGAGATTAGTTACTGATTTAACCATGAAATTTCATAGAACAAGGAAAATAACTGGTTTTACTCATAGAAATAGGACTATTTAATAATAGAAATAGAAATAATTATTTATAACTTATTCCCCTGTAGTAATAGTTAATTGAGGCAGCTTATACTAAAACATTTAAAAAGTAGGCAATTTAAAATTAAAAAGATAAACAGAGATATCTAAAGCTATACAAGAGACAAGGAATTGTATTTACAGTTCCATATGTTTACTGTAGCTGAGCATTTATTTGAAGTCTGAGCTTTCATAGAGATTAAAAGTATAGGAAATACAATGAAAATGGAGGTAAACTTTGTTAAAATTCTTGAGAATAGGACCTAGGCAACATAAAAACTTATCAATGTATTTCACAGATAAAGATTGGGAAGATATTAAAAAGATGCCTGAACATTCAACATTAATGAAAGATTTCAGAAGAAATACGTAAGTTGGAAAGAAAATAGACCCTTTGTTGATTTTTGCTTTTCCAGAATACTCAGTACAAGATTGAATATTCAGCATAATAGAAGATTCAATATAAGATTACTCTAATAAGTAATTTTACTTATTTATTCTAATAAATATTTTTCATGATCACACTCCTCATTTCTTAAGATGCTTAAATGATGATATAAAAAAAATGACTAATATTAGCAGCCAATTTGGATTTGAGGAAAAAAATCAATTCATTTCTTTCCATATTTACTACTTTCTGGGAGCTAGACATTAGTGGGAAGTATCATAGCTGAAGAAATAAGAGACTAAAATAGACAAACCTTACTAATAGCCACTTGCCTGCCTACCTAGGTTGTGTAATAATTTTAAGCAAGTTTTAATAGAAAAGAATTAATATTTCACTCACTTACAATGTAAGACTAGGAATTGGGAGAGTCTAGTTTATTAGACCTATAACAGATGTATTTTAAACTTGCTGGTAAGACTGAGTTAAACTTTTGACCCAGGTATTATTTACAATAATAGTTAAAATATAATTCATGTGAAAAAAGCTACTGAGTATATGTTATTCATGAAATTGTCTTGCATTTAATCATTGGTATCTATTCAAAAATGACTAGCATGAATATTAAATGAAGTATAAAATTGATTTAATGCTGCTCTTTTTTATGCTGATCATAGCATCTTCAATATATATTTTATATTGGTTATTATCAAAATAATTCTGTTCAGAAGGACTTTAGCCAATGTAAAATTAACCTCACATCTAATGTAGACATTTCATAGTATTTCTCTTTCAGGTATACCAACTGCAGCCTTATCAAGTATATGGAAAAACATAAAGTTAAACCAGATAGTAAAGCATTCCACTTGGTAAGCTTTAGATAACAGTACTAATGAAATGCATTTTTTTCCTAATCGACTAGCACAACTTGAGTTTTTTTGGGTTCAGTTTATATGATTATTTAGCACTCTTAGAATACTTTAATGGTAAATGCAGAGATTGTGTTGGTGCTTACTAGTAAAGACATCAAAATATTTGCTTCTCCAAACCATATCATGGTTTGACAGACTGTTGGGTCACATTAGATTTTCTAAAGGTAGTAACTGTAAAAAGTCTGTCAAGAACATATTTTAAATTACAGTAGTCCACACCCCGATCTGTGATTTCACTTTCTGTGGTTTTAGTACCCTCAGTCAGTCAAGGTCTGAAAATAGGTGAGTATAGTACAGTAAGATATTTTGAGAGACCATATTCGCAGAACTTTCCTTACAGTGTATTGTAATAATTGTTTCATGATTATTGTCGTTAATCTCTTACTATGCCTGAATTAGAAATTAAACTTTATCATAGTATGCGTTATAGGAAAATAATATATAATGTGTAGAGGGTTCAATACTGTCTGCAGTTTCAGGCATCCACTGGGGGTCTTGGAATGTATCCTCCATTGGATAAGAGGGGACTACTGTACATTTATTGTTTTTCATCAGTTATTTAAAATTTTTAAAAATTTCCGAGAAGTGTTAAAGAGAAAACAATCTCATCTTTCAGAAATAATTTCTACAGATTATTTTATATTTCAGCTCTTTGAAAGATTGTTTACAAAATTTTGAACTCCCAAGATACCTCTTATAAACTTGAGAATTAGAAGTCCTTCAATGATGTTATACATTATTTGCTTCTTCTGGAAGACTGTGAGAAATGCAGTATTTGTTACCATATACTGGAAAAATGATTTGACCTAGAATCTAAATGAATTCATGTAACTTATGATGAGATAATATTCAATTTTTGCCAACTTAAATTTTTTTACAATAAAATTTCCATTTTTATGCTATAATAATTAAAAACGTTTTTCAGTTTTATGTTTTCAAAAAGAGGTTTATAACATATGAAAGGGGAATTTGGGGAAGCCGGTTATATTTTGCTTGACTTAAAATTCTTTTAAATCCTTATTCCCAAGTATTCTTAAATGGGAATTCTTTTATCTTGAAAGGGTTCAACTTTCTTTTACTGCAAACAGGCCACTTGGCAAACATTTCTTCTTTTCCTGCTTCTGTTTCTGCTTTTTAATCTTCCTCTACTGCTTCTGCTTCTGTGTCTTCTACTTATTGTTACATCATGTCATATTTTATATACATATTTCATATCTTGTCAGCAATTTAAAAAGCAGTGCTTAACCTATCTTATTATTGTGCAGTATGCTATGCAAATAATAATTTATTATGGTGTACTTACAACAGGACCCTAATTAGAAGGTTAAGTTAGATCCTTCAAAATTATGGACTTATTTATTCTAAGAAAATGATAGTGGTGGGTGGTAGAGTAAAAGTCAGGATTTAGGGGAGCTCTTCTTACCCACCCCCCCAATTAATAACCTGCTACTCATTATAGTCTGAGGTGACTCACTACCATCACCACTGAAACTCTAGAGATATACCTTCCATGTAGTGTATCTGCTTGTTTTTACTTGGATGATGACTTAATTGCTGGTAATCTTGGGTGGTCCCATCTGAAATTTGGGGGTATTTTAAATAGCAAATCCAGGTTTTTCGTTTCAGTCCTAAAAATAAAATAGTACTTCCATGGAATATCAGATCATTAAATTTAAATTTGAATCTCACCATCCAGCATTTTATCTGTATTCTTAAATATTTATTTTATGTTCTTTTATCCTCTAAAATTTGTCATCTCCCATTAAGTCTGAATGTGTCTATTAGTTCATTGGTTTTCAAATTTTCATCCTAGTCCAGCAGCAATAGCATGACTGGGAACTTGTTGGAAATGCAAGTTCATGGGCTCCTGTCCAGATCTACTGATTAGAAACTCTGGGAGTAGGGCCCATCAATCTGTTTTAAGAAGTCCTCCAGGTGATTCTGATGCACACTAAAGTCTGAAAACCACTGCATTAGATCAAAGTATAAACTAAGAGACCACAATTTAGATAATCTCTTAAATTACATATTAAAATCAAATATTCTAGTTCATAAAGCCTTCAGTACTGTGTTTTAACTAAAAAATATTGAATCTTTCTATATTGTAGCAATAAAAATAGCTGGCACTTATGTAGTGCTTTCTTTGTAACCAGGCACCATTATAATTGCTTTCCATATATTAACTCATTTAATCCAGAAAAAACAAACCTGTGATAATAGGTACTACTTTTAATTTCTCTTTGACAAATGGAGCTACAAAGAGGTTAAGTAACTTGCCAGCATCACTCAACTAATAAATGTTGAGTCAGGAATTGAACCAAGCAGTCTACTTCCAGAGTCTCTAATAACCACAACATAGTTATTTAGACTAGTACAGCATTGGGCAGTAGAATTTTCTGTGATGATGTGCACCCCCCAGTAGGGTAGCCCCTCGCTACATGTGGCTCTTGAGCTCTTGAAGTGTACCTGGTGTGACTAGGGAATTGATTTTTTTAAAAATTTAATTTGGTTTTAGGGCCGGCCCATGGCTCACTCGGGAGAGTGCGGTGCTGATAAAAATTTAATTTGGTTTTAATAAATTTGGATCTAAATTTAAATAGCTACATGTGGCTATTGTATTATTTGTGTTATAACAGTTTTTCCCCTTAACAGAAAAAGAAGAGAAGATATTTATATAAGAATTTTAGTCTTTTTCTAAAATAGATAGAGCAGTTTAGATAATATAAGGGGAAAAGTTATTGGATTAGAGCCAGAAGATTAAGTATAGTAACTGTTGGTTTAAGAATCAAGTGAGATGATGAATATTGGAATGACTAAAATGTGAATGACTACATTACATTTGATAGTTAGGGTTTGCTGTTGTTTATTTGGGAGAATCAATACCCTCCAAATTTTGGTGGTGTTCATCAGAAAAACATGTACCCCCCCACATGTGTGCTAAAAAGTTACTCTGGGAAGTAATGCAGTAATGTTTTTATGATTTATGGTTTCAGCTTCAGAAGTTGCTTACCATGGACCCAATAAAGCGAATTACCTCAGAACAGGCTATGCAGGATCCCTATTTCTTAGAAGACCCACTTCCTACGTCAGAGTAAGTGATTGATTTACAAACTCACCAGGATGATGGAATTTTTGAAGCATGCTTTCTTTTAGTTGTCAACTCTAAATTGCCACTCCTGTTATGTGAGAACCTAAGGAAATCCTTCTGACAAGCAAAAAATGAGCTGAGCTGACTGAAGTGTCATTTAGGGGCTTTATGGTTAAGAGGCAGTTCTGTTCATCTCTTGCCTTATGAGATGTTGATCACATTAGTTTCAGCAGTAATCCACTTACTCAGTGACAGGTCGATTATGCATGCTGTAGCTCCTTCAGACTCACTGAGATTGCTTACTGCCTGCAATTAGAGTTCTGTGTTCCAGAATTACAAATACTATTCCCAAATAAATTTGTGTTCCCTATACCATCTTTTGTTTTAAATGTAGTAAGGAAGGTAAAACAAAAATTGTCTTTAAAGAGTGACACATTTCAACTGGAATCTAAACTTTGGTTGTAGAAGTAAAAGAGTAATGCTGGGATAAAAGAAGAAACTTGAGTCATTAGATGATTATTGATTATTTTTATACAATGAAAGGCCTTCAAATGACCTGATATAATGTCACTGATTAGAATAAAAGATTCATTGTGTCACATGTTGCATGAAAGGTGCTTATGTTTGCAAATATGGAGACAAAGTCCATCTTAAAAGATTAAAATGAAAACTGCCTAAGTGAAGCATTGAAATATTGATTAGTATACCAGAAATCGTTTTTCTTTTTTTCTTGTGATCAGCGTTTTTGCCGGTTGTCAAATTCCTTACCCCAAACGAGAATTTTTAACGGAAGAAGAACCTGATGACAAAGGAGACAAAGTAAGTATTAAAGTACATTTGGCAGTTTCTTGTTTCACGAATGCTTCCGTAACATTTTCTGGTGTGGGTGTATTTTGTTCTCCTTCTGAGTTGAACTTTGTTTTTTTGTTTAACCAATTGAGAAGAACCAGCAGCAGCAGCAGGGCAATAACCACACTAATGGAACTGGTCACCCAGGGAATCAAGACAGCAGTCATACACAGGGACCCCCGTTGAAAAAAGTGAGAGTTGTTCCTCCTACCACTACCTCAGGTGGACTCATCATGACCTCAGACTATCAGGTATCTCAAGTTTATTTTTATTGACCTGCTATGTCAGTGTTTGCATATGAGTTTGTGACCCCTGGAAAATGTGATATAATTAAGAAATACTGACCTCTGTGTACCTGGGGAAATACACTGACACAAAATGGTACTGGCATGGAAAAGTACTGACAGTGTATAGTAGGGAAGGTTTAGACTTTTGAACCCGACAGACTTGGAATGATCTAATTCAAATTGTGCCATTTATTAACTATGTGACCTTGGACGAATAATTTAACACCTCCTGGCTTTAGTGTTTCCATCTGTAAATGAGACGAGTAAAACCTAATTTGCAGTTGTTGTCAGAGTAGACATGATGTATCTTAGCACCTAGTTTATAGCAGGAGCTAGATAAATGGTATCTATTGTTTTGAAATAATATGCCATAGTGATTAAGAACTCTATCAAGCCGGTCACTTACTTCTGTGTAACCTTGAGTAAGTGATTCAAATGTTCTTGGTTTCCTCATTTGTAAAATATAGATAATGATAAATGTGAGATTGTAGTAAGTATTAAATGAGATAATGTTTGCTAAGGCACAGAGCCTGCCATAAGCACTTAATAGATGATACCGGGTGCTTTCATAATTTTTATTATCATTATCATCATTAAAATTCTTAGTAACATTCAAAATACACAGTAAGCTCTTAAGTGGTGGTGGTGGTACTGATGATGCTGTAATAGTAACAGCTTATTAAACCAGCTCTTATACTTAGTATGAAATATCCATTGTATCTTTCGATGAGTATAACTTTGGGAGATAAGTGTTATCACTGCCATTTCAGGAAACTGGTGCTTGTAGAGGTTAAATAGCTTCAGCGTGTTCACCAGCAAGCTAGTGGTGGACCCAGGGCTCAGACTTAAATCTGACCGCAAACACCACTCATTGCCTACTTATGGTTCCTAGCATGTGACATTGTCAGTTCCTTTGAGGAAAGACCTGTTTTGAAAATTGAATACCATTCCCCTTTCTCTTCTGTTTATTCTAATGATATTCCCAACAAAAATGGGTTTCAGTATAGGAAGGATACTGAAAACCTGAGCAATTAGAGACATTTACCTATAAAAAGAGAAAAAGAGATCTTATGAGACTGATGAGGTTCTCAGTGCCCACGACTGCACTTCAAGAATTAGATATTAACTCTTTGCTTGACTAAGGGGGAGGTCCAGCCCACACACCATGGAGATCATTGTCTGCCTGAGTAGTGATTCTCTCCCAGTCAGCTAAACAAAGAAATCAAGGACAGACATCTATGAGAGTTGTTGTCGGTTCCATCATCTTTTTCTGTCCATCTGGATGGGATAAGTGCATCTCTCTTGGCTCAAGAATGTGTTTGCATACTAAGGTGACGGCATCCTTAGAGTGAAGCAGAGCAGCGCTCTAACCTTTTCTTTGGAAACTGAGAAAATGATGCTGAGCTGCTTTGTTGATATTATTGTGGTTGATTTTTGTGTGTGATTGCAAAAATAGTATCTCTAACTACAATTTCATGTATCCACTTTTTAAAAAATGTTATTTTTGCTAGGATTGGCAGAATTTAAAATCAAATGACTATTAAACGTGCTTTGAAAGAGAGCGATAATAAATTATGGTTAATCTTTTATAGTGTTTGTTTTGGGAGCTAATAATATGAGAGAGAGGTAAGGGAATGAAAATAATAATATAACAGATCAAAATTAGAGAACTCTAAACTCTGTCACCCCTTATTCCCTTTGTGCCCCTTTTAGAATTGAGAATACTACTTTTCTCACATTTCAATGATTATATTTTTACTTTTGTCTGTAAACTTGTAGTAGAAAATAAGATTCGGTAGTTTAAAAGGCATAAAAATACGTTAATGCCAAAGAAGTTGATTCTATAGAAATTGATTCTGTACCTTTTATTTTAAGTTATTATTTACTAAGTAGATACAAAACAGCATAGAAAGGGGGTTACTGCTGCAGAAAACAAATGTGTTTGTACAGCATAGTAATAAGACTTGGCTTAGTGTTATTTACTTGCAATACTTCTGACATTCCTAAAGAAAAGCTCAGATTAAAAGATTTGGGTTTTCTGTCTTTTAATTCTAAAGCTAGTACATAGCACAAAACTTGTACATCCTTACTTCCTTGAAACCTAGTGACACTTCAGTCACACAGGAGCCTTGCTGACTTGGGATCGAGTTGCTGCTAGAAGCACCTGAGTCACATTTCACCCTCGTTTCCTTTCTAGCGTTCCAATCCACATGCTGCCTATCCCAACCCTGGACCAAGCACATCACAGCCACAGAGCAGCATGGGATACTCAGCTACCTCCCAGCAGCCTCCACAGTACTCACATCAGACACATCGGTACTGAGCTGCGTCGGAATCTTGTCAATGCACTGTTGCGAATGCTGCAGGGTTGACTGCAGCTCTCCACGGGAACCTGGTATGGGCCATGAGAATGTACTGTACAAATGCATCTTCAATATGTCCAGTAGCCAAGTTCCACCACTTTTCACAGATTGGGGTAGTGGCTTCCAAGTTGTACCTATTTTGGAGTTAGACTTGAAAAGAAAGTGCTAGCACAGTTTGTGTTGTGGATTTGCTATTTCCATAGTTTACTTGACATGGTTCAGACTGACCAATGCATTTTTTTCAGTGACAGTCTGTAGCAGTTGAAGCTGTGAAATGTGCTAGGGGCAAGCATTTGTCGTTGTATGTGGTGAATTCTTTCAGTGTAACAACATTATCTGACCAATAGTACACACACAGACACAAAGCTTAACTGGTACTTGAAACATAAAGTATATATTAACTCAACAAAATAACTAGGACTCAAAATGAGATTATTTTGGTACACCTTTCTTTTTAGTGTCTTATCAGTGGGTTGATTCATTTTCTACATTAATCAGTGTTTTTTGACCAGGAATATTGCTTGGATTTTTTTGAAAGTACAAAAAGCCACATAGTCTTTCCAGAAAGGTTTCAAAACTCCCAAAGATTAATTTTCAACTTATAATTTTGTTTTTGTTTTCAATCTATGACTTGACTGGTATTAAAGCTGCTATTTGATAGTAATTAAATATGTTGTCATTGATATAAACCTGTTTGGTTCAGCAAACAAACTAAAATGATTGTCATAGACAGTGTTTTATTTTTCCTGTTGGTGTTGCTGATTTGTGCGCATGCTTTAAGATGAAAAAAAGCATGAATGATAACTTCCTTAAAAAGGTGCGGCATCCAAAATTCAGATATTTCGTCCTGATTTTAAAGCTGGTTGGTGTAGTGCTATTAAAATTTTGTTCAATTAATTTTCCTTTTTAAAACCTGTTCGCACGTTGTTTAGGGTGCCCTTACTTCAGCAAAGGAGGAAGAGTAGGAGAGCCTTAGAATTTTTAAGGAAAAAAAAAACCTATAACATACAATGTACTGTATCAAACTATTTTACATGAATGACACAAGTATTCTGAATAAAAAAATAACTGAACATTGTTAAAAACAAGGTGTTATGTAATAAATTTATTTTTCATAAATCAAAATATGGAGTCACCTGTATTTTTTTGTATGTACAAAGGGTTTTTTTTTTTTAAATTTTAAAATGTGCCTTAACAAGTGCTCTCTGAACAAATCTCTTCCATTGTTTTCATCAATAATACCTATATGTCCTGCCTCCATAATGGAGTAAAGGAATGATGTAAGTCATAGGTATGGTTATTTTTTCTGTTACACTTAGTACTGAAATGTAAGATATGAAATAGATACCTTTATTGTTGAAAGGTATTATGCTGAATCTTTTATCTCTGGAATAATGCCTAGCTTATTCTGTGTTATGCTGAGAGGGATTTGATTGTTTTATCCCAGATAATTCTTTTTCCTCCTCCTTCACAAAATACAGAATTTTTTTTTTAAAAAGCTAACATATTTTGCTTAAAAACTCAAGTCATTCATATAAAAACATTCTAAAACATTTTAAGGACTGAGGAATCTCAGTGCTGATGGGCCTGACCATAACAGTAAGGATTATTTTTAAGAACTGAATTCATGTTTCCACTTTAAGTTTCCCACCCCAGTTCATTCACATAATGTGTAGATCTGATTATGGAGCTCTCCTAGTTAGAACCCTTAGGAGCTCCCTTTTGACTGCAAAATTGCATCAAAGCACACTCCACAGTTTGGATTCTATCAGTCTTACCCCTTTCTATGCCTTTGTATTTCCTTTCTACTCTAATTGACTTGTAAGCTTTAGTCCCTTCCTTAAATGTTGTAGTTTTCAAGCTTAGTGGCTGTGAGAATCATCTGGAGTATTTTCCCCCTCAGGGTCTATTCCCAGAGGTCGACTCAGTAGGGTTAGGATGGAACATGGAATCTTCATCTTTAATAAGCTCCTCAGTTGGTTCTGATGCAGTAGGCTGAGGAACATATGTGAAGAAAAACAGTTCTAGGGTCATTTGCCTCCAAGCTGGAGTAAAAGATTGAAAAAACATAGCAGTTAAGTGGCTTGGAGAGAGGCTGACAGCCCATCTTTTTTCCAAAAGCAAAACCCACTATAGCAAGTTTCACTCTAAATGCCAGAGTGCCCAAGGTCTCAGTTCTCCAATTTCCTTATTTCCCTATCTATACCCATTCCCTGAGTGATCCTATCCAATCTCATGACATTAAACATTGTGGTGACTATCAAATTTACATACCCAGCCCACTTTCTCCCTGAGCTCATGTTTCTATATTTAACTGCATCTGTGACAAATAATGTCCAAATCTACATGCCTGCCTGCATTCTCTAAGCCATTCCCCAGCTTTATTTTTCTACATAGCACTTATCACCTGACTTATGACATGTTTGCCAATATTCTGTTTCTTCCTCATAGAATCGAAGCTCCTGAGAGCAGGGGTCCTCTTCTGTCTCCGACCTTGCCTCTATCTACACTTGTTCCCTAAGTGATGTCATCCAGGCTTGTGACTTTGATAGGCTGATGATTTCCAGATTCCCAATCCAGAGTTACCTGTCCTGTCTGACTCATTACTGCTATATCTTGTGAATGTATCCACATCCAGACTGGCGACTCCAGCCGCCTCCTCCTGCTGACTTATCCATCTCAGGGAGTGGGACACCTTGTCCTCCCATCCAGGCCAGGCAGCAACCTTGGTGCCATCCTCTCTCACATGCTTTACATCCATTTTATGTGCAAATCCTGCCGGGTTTCCTTTTAAGATACATCCTTAATTGGTCCGTCCTCACCACCTTCACTGCAGCACCCTATGCCAAGCCACAGTCATCCCTTTCCTAGACTGTTCAGTAATCTCCTGCCTGCTTCCAGACCCCTCGCCACAGTCTTCTTAACACAGTGGCCGGAGTGAGTCTTTTAACACAGAGGTCATGTGACCCCTCTGCTCACATCCCTCCAACACATCTGTCTCAGTAAAAGCCAAATCCTTATTGTGCCCAACAAGTCCCTCAGTGTCCTGGCCTCCCTTTTTTTTTTTTTACTGGTCCCATCTAACTTCCATCGGCCTCACTCCAGCTCCACTGTCTCCTTGCGGTTCCTTGAGCCTGCCAAGCACATCTCGTCTCACAGCTTTTACGCTCGCTGTTCCATCTGTGTCTCCTCAGATGCTGCCCGCAGCTAGGTTCTTGGCTTTCTCTCTCCCTTCTGTCAGGTCTGCTCACATCTTAGGCGCTCCCTTCCCACTCCTATCAATTTGTGGCCTGTCCTTTGCCTCACCACACCAGCCTGTCTATCCCCTTGACCCTGCTTTGTTCTCCTGCCTCCTGCTTAGCATCAGTAACATGTATACTTGTTCATTGTTTCTCCTCCCGCACTAGGAGAGAAACTCCAGCAGGGCGGTCTTTACTGTCTACAGTAGTCCCAGCAGCTGGAAGAGCGCCTTTCAGTAGTGCTCATAAATATTTACTGAATGAACAAATGACTTTCTATGATGGCAAATAATACCTTGAACTGAGCATATCCAAAAGAAAACTTTTATTTACTTAGTTATATTCTGGAAAATAAGGTTTATTTTTTTCCACATCTAAGTTCTCATAGAACAGGAACAATTGATTGTAGAATACTTTTTTGAATACAGAAATTAGTTATGTCCACATTTAACAAAACACTTGCAATCCAGTAATAGCTCCTACTTTGTACTGACTTCATTCACACTTATCAGTGCTACCATTTGTTTTCTTTTTTTGTTTTTGTTTTTTTGTTCTTGGAGGCTGGTCGTTAGGGGGATCTGAATCCTTGACCTTGGTGTTATAACCCACTCTCTAACTAACTGAGCTAACCAGCCAGCCCTTGTTTTTCTATCTACATATTTTATGCTTTCTTTTGCCATTTTTTGTCTTTCAATTTAAAAAAAATTCCCAGGTATAGAATCCATATTCAGTGTTCTTCCCTAAAATGCAAAAAATTTTGAAAATCATGATGCTAACCATAAGCCAAATTTATTGCTGAAAAAAAAATTCCTGAGTTTTGTTAGCCTTGGGAAACACAAAAAGTACTCTTCATTTAGTGACTTAACATCATGAACATTTAAATATTCTTTGGCTTTTAGAGCAGAAAAATGAGATAACTGAAGTCTACTTTGTTTACCAATCCTAGATACCTCCTCTTAAAAATTACTGCACATAGACATCCCTCTTTTTTTAAAATTTGCTGAAAAGAACTAAATGCATGCAATGTAGTGGAATATATACTCTTTTTTTGAAAGAATTTAAACACAATTATTACAGTTAACATTGGACAAAAAGAATACGGCTCTCATTGATAAAATTTGTGGCAATTAAAACACAAGACACGCTAATACCTTGACAATGTGAAAGGATAAATGAAAAATGCTGTGGTCAAGGTCTTGACCTCTAATTGACAAGAGAGTTGGGTAACAAGCATCTGCTGAGGCTTACACAGTAAGCCTTACCACTTCATGTCTCAAAGCATAATTTCCAAAAGATGTGACATGCTCAGCCTTGATCCCTTTATTGAATTACATATGTGAATTAATTTATGCCATTATCAGTACAAAGAGGGACAGCCTACGGGTAGGCATGCCATGAGAATTCAAATGGTACCTGGAAATCAAGTGAAGGTGAAAGAGCTTTGTTTATATTATTTGGGGTATTATACACCAGAAGTTGAGGTTTCAGAGAGCAGATACTATCTATGATATTGGTGGTTTCAGTGAAGCTCCCTAGTCTTAGAAAGGACTTAAGTTACTTGTTCATCCTTTGTTGCATACCTGCAGTGTGCTAAGCACTGCCCTGTGTGTAGTAGCTGCAATAGAGAACTAAAGGACTAGTTTCCTGTGCTCATGGAGAGCGTGTTTTAGTGATTGATAGTAAACAGTTCAGCAATAGATTAAAAATAATAACACATTATGATAAAATCTATGAAAGAAATGAGGTGAAAATGAGAATGTCTGTGAGGGCCAGTTTTAAGTAGAATAGTTAGAAGGTTCCGAGGAAGTAGTATTTGAGTTGAAACTTGAGAAATATGAACCGAAATTTAAGGTATGTGAAATGTGAGCATACGAGTCTTGCACGCAGCAGGAACAGCAATTGTAAAGATCCTGCTGCAGAAATGGGCTTGGTGTATTACAAGTGAATGGAGGCTATTGTGCCGGAAGAGAATGGATGAAACGGTAGAGGGGAAAGAGAAGTTGGTGTGTGTGACTTGGGCAACTTGAGAAGAAAGCATAGCTACGAGTGTCCATCAGCATGCTGGGAGGTGACCACTTCACGATGGCCCACAACATGTGAATGCTCCAGCTGCTTGACTCCTTCAGTTGAAGACTGTGCCTGCACATCTTATCAGCTCTGAGACTATCTTCACCAGCTGTCCCAAATGCCTGCGAGCAAAGGAGAACCTTACATTTGCCTCCCTAGCCGCTATCATCTCTCGCAACATCATCTAGCTTCCTAAGTGCCATACTCTAGTCTGTCTTCGGCGCAACACTAGTGATCCTTTAAAAGATCAATCAAAATGGTCACTCCATGCTCTTAATCCTTTGGTGGCCTCCCATACACTTACAATAACGTCAGAATTTCTCGACGCTTCCTAAAATATTCCAGTCTCTTAGCTCTCTGCAATTTCATTTCCTACCACTCTCCCTACTGATGACTATGCCCCAATTACCTTAGCCTCCTTGCTCTTCCTTGAAAATGTCAAGCACATTCCTGTCTTGAGGCTTTTGCCTGCTGTGCCTGGAGTTCACTTGCCCTGGATTTTGTCTGACTCACTCTTAACTCATTTAGGTCTGCTCAAATGCCACCTCCTCAGAGTGGCCTTCCCCTCAGTCATAATGTACCTGCTTTTCCCACTATTTTTCTTCAGAGCCGTGAGCACTACCTAGCATTTTTATACATGTGTATTTTTTTGTTTGTGTATTTGTTAGTTGCCTGTCTCACCCATGAGGGCAGGGACTTACATTCCTTGTCACCTAGAATGGTGTTGGCATATAACATGCATTCAGTGACGTATCTGAACTTAAGAGAGAACTGAACTGAAATAATCACCATCTATATTTTCTGGTTGTGCTGTCTGTT